GAGAGAGAGAGAGAGAGAGAGAGAGAGAGAGAGAGAGAGAGAGAGAGAGAGAGAGTCACCATCCTTAGATGAGGGTGCTGGGATTGGGTTGCTGAAATCTGCGCTGTTGAGCGCTTGGTGACTGACTGGATCTCCGAAACTGTTTAATGTGATAAGTTGTTGGAATTTCTAAGCTGCGCATATCTGGACTTCGCATCTCTAAACTCCTTTGTGGATCTCGTGTAATCTCCCAATGCGTGTGTGTGTGCTCAAGGTGTCGAGCAGTGAGGCTCAATGCACTCTCCACTACTCGACAACATTCCACATGTGTCTGAACTCTGGACCGACCAGATACATTTGCACGGATCCATCTGGACTGACCAGATACATTTGCACGGATCCATCATTTCAAACGGAACTGAATGAATGTGCAGGTCCAGATTCATGTAGAATGTTTGTGTGGCCCTGACTGTTGGTTTCTTTTGTAAGGAAAATGACAAACAAGGTGTGGTGAAGGTCTTGTTGAAGTTTTTGGCTACGAGAATCAGGCAGGCTGTCAAATTGTAGGCCCTTAACGATGACGCCTTGGATCGTTCGGGGTGTTTATTTTTACTTGTTTGGGGATTCAGGAGCGAGATGGAGTGATTGCTCAGGCAGTGACCTGCATGGATTTTTGTGGTGTGTCGGGTCTCCTCGCTGTTGGGTATGAATACGGAGTGGTAAGTTCACATTCTGGCTGGCAAAAATGGATGCTCTTTTTCTTTTCTTTTTCTTGAGTTCTTTTTTTTTTCCCCTTTTTTTGGTGGTGGTGAGCGGCATTTTTGTATGTGTGATGGACGATCATACGACTAGTTGTGAAGCCGTTTTGTATCTGTGATAGTCCCACAATGAGAATCAATAGATAGATGATTCACGACTTCACTCGTACTGACATCCACGATGAATACCGGCACAAGGAGACACATGCATAAACAAGCACATCTGGAAATTGCCGAAAAAGATTAAAAAGAATCACGCTTCATGTAGAGAAAGTTAGCATGATGTCTGAGTTGCAATCGCACCCCCCCCCCCGCCGTACGGGCTACTCCTGTGGAGGACACAACATGCAAGCAAAGGACTGCAGATCCCTGTATGATGCTGCATCGTTTCCCTTCTTCACCGTAATAATCAGTTGCTCGTACCCGAATAGCCCGTACGAGCAATTTGAGCACCAAAGTCTGGCGATGAATATGGAGTGATAAGCTCGCATTCTCGGTGGCGAAGCGCGACCGTGAAGCCATTTTGTGTATGTGATAGCCCAGCAATGACAGCCACTGGGTTGTTAACACTTTTTATATATGCGTCGCCACACAACACACGAATGCATCGAGCCTTGAACGGGCATATATAACAAGTACTAACAACCGGGCGCCAAATGCAGTTAATATGGTCATTATGGCTGTATTAACTGCACATGGTGCAACTTTCAGTCTAGATATAGCCATGATGCCCATACGTCGAGGAAGATTCTCACGGGCGGGCAGTCCTTCCTGGCCGGGCACCCGGGCGTGACCCGGGGTACCCAGGTGTGCAAAGAAAAACAAAAAAATTGAACAAAATATTTTTTTTTTTTTTTGGTTTTCTGCGCTCTCCCAGAGGACCCCAAATCCGGGCTTATTTCTGTCGTTGCGAGTTGGCTGTCAAGGAGGGGAGAGCGAGGTATAAATTGGTTTTAAAGGGGCTAAACTCGTTTAAACTTTAAAGGGGGGTGCCTTTGTGTGATTTTGTTATTTTCTTTTTGAACTCTGATTCTGTGAGGGATTATATTGTGACCCTCAGCTAAAAGTCGTTTGTATTTCAATTCTACACAACATTTTTTTTTCCAGAATTTTTTGATTTTTTTTCTTGATTGTTTTTGCTCTGGGGTTGCCTGGAACCCTGCCTGGCCGGCATAAGTTAGGTGCCCGGGCGCCTGGAAAAACAGCCTAGCCATACATTCTATTTAGCGGAAGACAGACAAAAGTTGCTTCTACTTGATAAGCTCATTTGATGAGAAATCTCTGGCCAATCATCTACTACGGCAAACCTTCATTTATGTCTGCTACCTGACTTGTCTTCCATGAGTAGTTTAGGCCCTTTAGGGTTTAGGGTTGAGGGTTGGCAGCACTTTGGCGGAATGAGTAATGTCTGCTCAATCAGCAAATTCAACCTTCATTGAAATTGGGCTATTTACATGAAATTCAACCTTCATTGAAATTGGGCTATTTACTATTTAGTGTTTAGTAATCCAGGCTACCAGAGTGGCCCAGGACAACTTGTCCACTGGCGCCAAAAGAAATTATAAAAAAATAAAAAAATAAAAATGTTACGATCCTGGCCAATTTTGAAGTCCACAACCATCAGAAAGTACAATGCTGCCCAAATGCAAAAGAAATAATTGAACTTGAGCTCAACTCCATCCAATTGCAAAATGAAATGAAAGAACTTGAAAGGAGAGAGAGGGAAAGAAGAAGAAGAAGAATTAGAGAAGAAGAAGAAGATGTACTTCGGCATAGACCAAAACAAAGCTCTTCTTCTTCGCTCAACAACCTCCTCCTCTTTATCTCTTCCTCTCTTATTCAACTCATGAAAGAACAACAATAAATTGAACAGCAGAACCAGAATCAATGTCCGAATCCCTCTTCTACTTCAGGCTTCCATATGAGGTCCACCATAGCCATGGCCACCTTCCTCTTCCTCCTTCACAGGTCTAGGCTATGGCAGACTAATGAGACCTTGTCACTCCGGACAGCTATGGTGCTGCCCTCCCTTGGTCTACATGTAGCAGCTAAGTGGCTGCCCACTGTCCCACCATAGCCAGACTCTGCCCGAACTTCCTTGGTGCCACACTGCCCCTACTCGGGCCTTCCAGATGCAGCGCCTCACAAGATGATGAAGATGGAGCCCTCCATAGCCAGGTAAGTCCCTCACCACTCTCCTACCTCAACCCCTTCTCCCTCCTCCTCCTACCGGTAGAGCTCCACCATAGCCGAGGTGGAAGCTCCCGGCTCCTTCCTCTCAGCTGCGCTTGAAGCAGCAGCCCTTCTCCGCCCAGCGCTCCTCCAGCCTTGAGCCGGCTTGCACCGAAGTGAAGAATGAGGAGCACTGGGCTCCTCCAGACTTATGTAGCGGCCAACTTGCCTCTTGGGCGGTGACTTCCAGGCCGCTTGGCCTCCTCAGCCTCCGGTACCTTCCTCCGTTTCGGAGGGAAACATCATTGCAGACTCTGATATTGGCCGTACAGGCTCTAGATGCAGACTGGTACCGGCCTAGACCTACCCACAGCTACCGGACTCTAAAAATGCCGACTTTGTCTTTTCTGCTCGGCCTTTCAAGTACCCACATTTCGGCCTACCGGCCCTCAAGTACCCCACACATATGCTTACCGGCCTACTTGAGTGTTTTCCCGCTACCCCCCCAAGGGTTGCGGGGCTGCTATCGACACCACTTGAGTGTATCCCCGGCTGCAGCTCTCAAACGCCATGCCACAGGTAAGTACCGGCCCTCCCACGGGCCTGCCCAGCCATCACAGACCCATACAGGTCACACACACTCAAGGCACTCCGACAACATGCAGGCCACACACAGTCATGCAACCCACAAACAAGCACGCACTCAGACCCAGCAAACACATCGACAGGCAGGGAACTTAGTACGGCATGCATCCTATGAGCAGAAATCAGAAATCGACTGTATGTTTCAGTCCGTGTATTGACGGGCCATTACAAAAATAAAAATAATATTATTTTTTAGTTTTTTATTTTTCTAGGTTACCAGCCGGGCCGCCCAGGTCACCCTATTTTCCCGGACGGCCCGGCCGTGCAAGGCCCAGGGAAGGTCCTAAAAAAAAAAAAAAAAAAAAAAAAAAAATCCGGAAAAAAAACTATGTTATGCAGAAAAATAAACTGAACAACTTTTGCCTCAGGGTCTCATCGAAATTCTTTACCAAATTTAAAATAAAAAATAAAGTTAAAAAATATTATTTTATTTTATTTTATTTCTGGCCCGGCTGGGCAACTGGCCCCTGGCCACTCTGGGAGCGTAGTTAATTTTAATTTTTAATTTTATTTTAAATTTGGTAAAGGATTTTTTTTTTGTTTTGTTTTGTTTTTTTTGTAACAGACGGGAACCGGCCTGGTGTCCCTTATATTACAGAGCCAGGAATCGGCCCTGGCGTCCCTGACAAAAAAAAAGAAAAAGGTTCCACGGTCCTGTTTGAAGGCGAGACATCACCGGTCAAGCCCAAAAACTGGACCGCATCACACCTCTATGCACAAAAAGAAACCACAAAAGGGAGCAAATCAACCTATGTCTCAACAAATGTCTTTCAACAAATGTCTCTGTCTCCCTCGCTGTGCTCGACGTACGCTTCACTGTTTGCCCTTGTGTTCCCCCACGACTGTGTGTCCGGCTCTTTCACCCCTTTTTTTCCTAATAGATTCTACTGCATATGGGCCTCGCTGCACTACTTTCGACATGCACAAAAGACAAAAATAATGGCGGTGTATCTTTCCATAATCTAGTGGAAGATTCACTCTCGTTTTGCACATTTCAAGAGTAGTGCAGCGAGGCCCTATGTCTACGGCACCTCCACTATGGTAAAGGAATTTGGATGTGAGCCTGAGGCAAAAGTTGTTCAGTTTATTTTTCTGCATATTTTTTTTTTTTTTCAGAGTTTTCTATTTTGTTTGTTTTCTTTTCTTTTCTTTTTTTTGCTGGGACCTTCGATGATCCTTGCACGGCCGGGCAACCCGGGCAAACAAGGTGACCCGGGCGGCCCGACTGGTGGCCTAGCTTTTACTAATCAGTATTTACTATTTACAGAAAAGGGTGGAAAAGAAGGGATTCTCACAGGTTTCAATTTTGTGGCTGGGAAAAAAGCCCTGAATGGGCATGTTGCTGAACGATTCTTGATCCAGGCTTGCCTTTACGTTCTCAGCTTGGAGAGCAGACATGTGTGCAGACTCACTGTCGAAGCCGATCAGACTTGCAAAAGAGGTGAGCATGAAGCTTGTGACTCAACCTCCTGTCTATTAAATAGTATTATATTTTTTTCATTTAAATAAATTAAAATCTTATTTTTTTAAATGTTTAATTTGACGATGAAGTTCGATGGGACCCTGGGGCAAAAGTTCTTCAGTTATTTTTCTGCACAACATAGTTTTCGGATTTTTTTGTTTTTTCTTTTTTTCACTGCGACCTTGCCTGACCCTTGCCGGCGGGGCCGCACGGGCACCCAAGGTGACCCGGGCGGCCTGGTTGGTAACACAGTGATTCATTCACTAGTTTTGATTTCCAAAGACAGCTTATCGTATTTGCGTCCGCGTGCCTGTTTTTATCGTTTGCGTTTCAGCTGTTTGAAATTATTTCCAAGAAAACTTATCATGTCCTAGTTGGCATGTGGGAGGCCTGGTAGAGATCGGGTATCGGGGTATAGGGGAGAGGCGGATAGGGTTGAGCTGCTGAAAGGCGCTAAGGCAGGTGTTTTTCGGGCTGAATATTCCCATGATCAAACCTTAGAGAACCTAACTTTGTGTAGATTGCTAGATTGCATAGCTATCATTTTTCAGCCGAAGCCGGGTAATGGCCCCGGTATCTCAAAATGTTACGCATAATTTTCTCAATATGTTCTTGAATGGGACGCTGGGCCCGTTTCCCAGCACGTGTTGCTCCCCACGAATAGATTGGAGCATGTCTAAAAAATAAAATAAAAAAATAAAATAAAACGATAAGCTGTTCTTGTCCTTTGCGTTTCAGCTGTTTGAAGATACATTGAGAGGTGTTCTTGGGACATCCGTTAAAATTGGAACGATACAGAGAATGAGATTAGCGTGGCCTCTGCAGGGGAAAAAACAAAAAAAAAAAAGGATGACACACATAAATCAAGAAATGGTCTTAGACTCGAAACTGGAGCTTGTGGCCTAATCTGCTTCCACATAGCGCATCCCCTTCCCTGGCTCTTGCCCGGCCTAGCCGCCTGGCCAACCAAGGTGACCTAGGCGGCCAGGTTCTTAGCCCAGGTTCTGATTATTATTATTTTTTTCAATTCAAACTGCGAACTCCGAAGAGGCTGAACTTTTTTTTCAAATGTTTTTCACTCTGTTGCAGAGCTTGCGCGCTGTGAATCTGGTTTCCAGTGTATTGGCATCTACAAGCTGCACAAGGGAGGGATCAGGAGCATTGCGCTTTCGACCGGTTATGGGCGTCTGGCATTCGGCGATGACGAGGGATTGGTAAGAAATACTCACGGCCGTCCCCGCCCGCTGGGTCCATTCTTAGCCCAAGGATCTTGATGACATATTCCGGCCGGTTTATAACTTTATGGTACTTCATACATCATCTCTGGTCAGATCACACACAACATGACGGGTTCTCGTTCACTTTACACGCAAAGGAAAACCACTGGAGGAGGGTCTCTTGCAGCACTATGTCGAGTGGAATGCCATTTTCTGAATGTATACACTACCATACAATGTATGTATACATGGAATGAGAATAAATCCCGTTATGTGCTTTATATGCGACACAAGGAATCCGCACACTTATGTGTTTGAACCAACAGTACTTATTTAAATCGTGTCCGTTACGATCTTAGGAAACGTATGGGCGCTCCTCCGCTACAGGAGCACCCAAATTCATCCGACTTGAAACGTTTCTACTCTATATTTTCCCTTGGCCGATAGCTGGGCCAAGTACTGGACTGCAGAGAAACTGTTTTGTTCTCCTGACTACAAAGGAATGTCCTTCTCCGGGCTTGTATACATCTTCCAACCGATTCGTTTGTGGTTAAATTGAATGGGAAAAGGGTCATATTGTATGCGCTTATGTGCTTGTTTCGACGATGGGAGTGGGCTGTGCAAATGCCAGAGCAAATCTTCAGGCACATGATCACATCCGCTGTGTGTTTTGCGCCAATGCCTTTAGTAGGAAAAAATGAGTTCTGCTTTGCGGCAATGACGGTTAACACAACTCGTCGTTTTCAGCGTTTTCTAACTTTTCTCCTGTATAGGCTTTTTGTCTAGGGCGATTTCCCGGGCGCCCGGGTGCCAAATCCCCGACCGGAATGGCACCCGGGCGCCTGGCCGGTCAGGACCCCCGGTCGGGCTTCCGGGCCAGTTTTGCGCAAGGCCCAAAAAAGTTTTTTTCGCGGCCTGGGGGGTACTCCGGGGTTCGTTGAGGCCGGTAGGACGGGCGTGAAAGAAGTTTTGGCCGTGGGGGGACCCGAAATGTGCCTTGCCGCATCGCCGAGATCTGGCCGTCGATCTCGAAGATCGACGGCTGGATTTCGCGGGTTTTGAAATTCGTTTGCCCGTGCATTTTCGCGCCGGCACGATGAGTTTGCCGACGCGAAAACGTGCGGGCAAACGACTTCCCCTATGGAGTCGGCCATCGGAGCCCGCGCGACGACGACGAAGCTCCGAAGACCCCCTGCCGTTGCCCCGGGAGCCCGCCGCCATCACCCGCTGGCCACTCCTCCGCCATCGACGGTTTGTGTGTGTGTGTGTGTATGTGTGTGTGTGTGTGTGAGAGAGAGAGAGAGAGGGAGAGGGAGAGAGAGAGTTTTCCAACCATTTCTCTCGTCCTCTTGTTCTTCTTCTTCTTCTCGTCCAGCTGCCCATCGCCCCGGACATCGCCCCGCCACCCGCCATCTTCTTCTTCTTCTTCTTCTTCTTCTTCTTCTTCTTCGTCTTCGTCTTCGTCTTCCCCCCCCTGACTTCGCCGTGATGGCGCCCGTGTTCCATCTTTTTCGTCGTCGTTCGGTAGGTAGCGCGAAATAGGACATGGAAATAGGAGTGTGCTCGCTTTCTCGCTGTGTCAGTCTGCATGTCCATTTCCATGTGCAAGCATGCATGTGTGTGTGCTGTATGTCATATGTGTGTGCTGTGTGTTTGCAGTATAGGATGTTTGTGACTCTGGGTGCTGTGTGCAGTGTGTGGCAGTTGATGTGCATTTGTGTTGGCAGTTGTTCATCCACTGCTGTTGTTGTTCATGTTGTTGTCATTGTTGTTGTTGTTGTTGTTGTTCTTGTTGTTGTTGTGGTCGCCGTCCCTGTTGTTGTTGTTGTTGTTGTAGTTGTTGTTGTTGTTGTTGTTGACAGTTAGGTATGATAGATAACTGTCAGCAACAACATCAACCGAAGAACAACCAACAACATCCCGCAACAAGAACAACAACAACAACAACAACAACTCCAACACCTGTAGTAGCAGATCGAACAACAATAAAAACAACAACAACAACAACAGCAGCAGACAACCACCATCAAGAACAACAAGAACAGCAGCAGCATTAGTAGCAGA